TGAGTTCTGATTTTTCTACCTAAGTGCTTTTTTCCCACAGGGACTACTTTTTTCAAGCAACTTCATGCCTTATTTTATCTTATGCACATTCGTAATATTGTTTTCAACAGGTCGCACACATCGTTCCAATCAAGTTAGCGCTCCAGAGTATGTTTTTCTCATCTCGGAACTTGCTGGAGAAAAACGGTAAGTACCTGTCATTGTCCTCATTGTGCATGCACTTATCTTCTTGCTTCAGATTTGCGTCCATTGTTGCGAAACGACTAGAATCGCTTGGTGCATTAACGCATGGTGACCGGCGAGCTACTGAAACTAGAGATTTGTCGCAATTCAATCTGGACAATCGTTATGGTCGTGACGCTTTGGAAGTGCTACTTAAATCTGTCAACGGAGCGCTTTCTCCGCCATTGATTCCTCCACCAGCAGATTACAAGCCTGGTGACTTCTTTCAAGGTTTGTTTGTGACAATCTATGCGTATAAGTTGATCTTCTTGATCTATTTGTTTAACTTTTTTGCTTTAGATATGCGTCTGTACATGGAAGGTGTCGGCCTGTTGGCGAAGCAGCCAAATAATACCTACACGATAGAACGTGAGGCCGCGACGATATCTAAGTTTCTCAATCGGTCAGTATCGATCGGTCATTTTTCCAGTAGCTGCTCAAATATCATTTGTTTTTAGCATACTTGGTATCCCTGTACATGCTCAAAACGCCTTGTTCCAATATTTCACTTCAATTGTCGCTGAATTGATAGCACAAGCGAAATTGGATGGCACTTATGACATGGGTATCATGGGTGAGTGATTCACTGTGCTAGTTCTAAGAGCATCCTCTTTTCTTCCTTTCTTTTGTTGTTCATGTCCTCATTTTCTAGATTTGGGGACTGGTGGAGATCAAGTTCGTAAACTGGAAACTCGCGTGTTTGTTGGAAGAGCAGAGAAGGGCGGTTTTCGTGTTGAAATGCAAAAGATTGGCGTTGAGAGGGGACTTTCATGGGATGAGGCTTACGCTTTGTACAAAGAGCATAACTCGGATGAGGTACGAATCGAATCAATAAGTCATCTATATAACTTTTTTTTAACAGACCTTGTTTTTGAAAATTGAAGTTGTCTATTATTTTTCCAAATATTACTTTCTGTCCCATGCATTCCCTGTATTATCTCAATCCTTTTTCTCAGGATGGCTTTTATGTCTCAAATAATGCAAATGGTGGTCGTCAAGTGGCTGTCTTGGTTTATGGTATAGGAAAGCGTCGTTTTGACAATGGAGCACGGTATTTGAAAAATTTCCTAAGTTCACCATAATAATCATAATTTGCCCATTCAGATTATATGCCGTCACTCGTCCCTCTATTGGGAGATCACCAAAACTAATCACCATGGCGGAAATTAGTAAACGTTT